AAACTCTAACAATTAGGGCGTGTGGTCTAGTGGTATGATTCTCGCTTTGGGCGACAGTTTAGGAAACTAAATTGATTACTACAAGCATGCGAGAGGCCCTGGGTTCAATTCCCAGCTCGCCCCAATTTCTTTTTTTTGAAGCCCAAATCTTTTTTCCGCCGTATTCTTTGTATGTCGTGTACTTTTAGTCAATGATTGGGGATTTTATAAAAAGCTGGCACGGAATCATATACTGTTCGATTTATACTAAAGGTTAAATAGAATATTTATCGAAGATTTAGGTCTAAGCTCAAGTATCAACAAGAGTTTGAAATATTTTTGATTGCGGAATTATTAGTTGAAAAGATTTCCATAGCATAATAATCGAGTTGCCGCCTTGATAAGATACCATGTCTAGCTATAGTGGCGATCAAGAGAAGATAGTATTGAAAGTCTTATCGTATAAACCTCATCAATACTATGAAATATTGTCAGTTGAGAAAACTGCAAATGATTCAGAGATCAAGAAGTCCTATCGTAAGCTAGCAGTGAAATTACATCCAGATAAAAATCCACATCCAAGGTCGTCGGAAGCGTTCAAATACTTAAATAAGGCGTGGGGAGTTTTAAGTGATCCATCCAAGAAAAGAATATATGATCAAACGGGATCAGATCCGGATACAAGGTTCTCGAGTCAGCCAGAAGCCGGTGGTATGGGAGGCATGAGAGGTAGTCCTTTCGCAACAACCAGTGGTTTTAATGGTGGCTTTGAAGATGATATTTTTAATTTGTTCTTTGGTGGTAACAGATATGCTAGTGGTGGACCAGCATTTACGTTTGGAAACAACGGGTTTACATTCCAGTCATTCGGTGGCGGCGAACATCCTTTTTTCGCCAGTAATATAAGAGCAAGACAACAACAAGCTCAGCAACGTCAACGTCGTCAGCAGAGACAACAAGAAGAAGAACCTTCATTTGTCACAACTATTAAACAATTCTTGCCAATTATACTATTCATTTTGGTTCCGTTATTATCATCATTATTTTCCGAGTCGTCGTCCCCTGATTATTCATTCAGCCCTACGCCAATATATAATACTGAAAGAATAACCCCGACCTACAAAATTCCATTTTATGTGACTAAAGACTTCATTAATAAGAAAAAATTAAGTACTAGACAATTAAAGAACTTCGATTATAAGGTGGAGAATTTATTCGTCCAAGATAAGAGAGGTAAGTGCTCGAAAGAGCAAATCAGAAAGAATGAGATGATGGAGGATGCACAAGGTTGGTTCTCAACTGACTATGAAAAATTGAGACGAGCAGAGGCTATGCCAATGCCTAACTGTCAAGCTTTAAGACAATTGAATTTAATTTAGATGTACATATATCGGTAATAAACTAATGACTGTGAAATCGTTATTCTCCCAACGATTGTAATGATGTGTTCAATATTTCTCTTTCGAACCCGAAAATACTCAAACAAGTAGTACAAATATGCACATATTTAGTAAGTAAATAAATCGTCCATTCTGCTAATGCATTAATATCAAGATTGTATTTGTCGTAAAAGACCAATATATAAAATATAGTCCGTCTACCATCTAATATCGGCTAAACAAGTGCTAGTATGGGCTCTTATAATGCCTTCATAACTTCTAGTAAATAAATATGATTTAATACCCGATATACGATGTAAAAACACAAGCGGCCTGCTTGTGTTTTTGCTCAATGGTAATCAAATATCTTACCCAGTAGCATTTTGCAACATTGTGGTAAGAGCATATATGTACCTTCTTACTCGCTATTGGAGATCAGGAACTTTCC